CGCCAGTGACCGCGAAGGTGGACACGTCGGTGCTCCAGTACCCGGTCTTAAGGTCAAATTGGCGGACATCCCTTCGATGGGCATTGTGGCTGAGCGCGACAACAAGGGCGAGGTGAGTTAGAGGCTTATAGCCCATTCCCCTTTCTCAACCATTCCGTTGTTTTTTTACTAAATTCAATCATGGCTAATACCTCTGGGGATAACTTTCCATGTCCATCTGTCATTCATTAAAATAAGGTCACTTGAGCTTAGGGTGTCTGTTTTGCTGAGGGGTAACCTTTGATACATGTTTGTATGGTTTGATCCCAGGGAAGGACAAATTGAATTGATCATGTTGCATCATTACTATGGCCTTCAGGGGGATTGTAGTGCGTAGACCTTATTAACCAATGCCTCTGGTCCATTTTATTCAAGACTGACATCCTCCATTTGTACGGAGATTCTTAATTCATTCACTGATGTACTTTGCGTGGATGTACCAATGTGATGGTCTCATGATGATGCCAATGTTCCAACACACCTTCAATAACAACCGGTATTGTAGATATGGAAGTGTTTTGGAACAGTACTACTGATTCATTTTTAAATCATTCACCTTAAAGCAAAGTTAGTGTAATTTGAACGCTTAAATTTCATTACTCCACTGGTTTCCCCTTCCCCTCCCCCCCCCCCGGTTTTTGCTGTAGTCTCAAAACTATTAGTAACTGATGGATAGGTTCGAAGAGGAGGACTCAAGGGTATTATGGCCAGAGGCCCACACCACCAAGCCGAGTTACAACTCCTGGAGACTGAAAAGCCAGTTTATGTTAATGATCAATTTAATTTAGGAATGAAGCATTCTACGACAGCCGTCTTTTTGATGCCTTTTTTGTTACGCGGTTAATGTTCAGGTCTCTGGTACGGGACGATTGCACAACTCATTCTTGCGGCAAAACACAAACTTTACCCGGTCGTTATCGCTGGGGTAGCATATGTCACCAAGCTTCTTCCATATAACTAGATGATCTTTACGGCTAAGTCTGATATAAATGAGCATACTTCTCAAATCATTTGTCAAACCTTAATACGACGCTTGAAATGTATTAGTACAATTGCCTTAATTTTACTGTCTCCAGCGATTGTCCCAATTGTCAATCAGAGCGAAGTTTCCCAGATCGTAGAACAGTGCGCTGTGTGTGTGTTTTTTGCCTAATCACTTCGTTTTTCAACTTCTCCAGCCGTCTGACTGAGGCGAAGTCTAAGTCGATGCTTTTTAAATTGCTCGATTATCCTTTCTTCGCAAACGAAATTTGAATTTCACACAAAATCTTTTAAGAGTTTCAGCTTGTGCACTCATTAGCACCGCATCCTAGTCACTATTGTTACTATCCAACTTCGAAGTTATGCATTTACTTTTGTAACCTGCGTTAGATTCGTGTAAAGGGACCAAGTTGCACGACGGGGTACTTTAAGGATCCCGAAAACACCGCCCAACTAATAGACTCCGATGGCTGGATGCGTACCGGTGATGTGGGAATTTGGACGGAAGTAAGCCTTTCTCATGCAATCTATGTTCATAGATATTTCCTATGCCCTTTATTTTGATTACATTCTCCGTCTGGTGTGCATTTTGCTCAGGTTGTGAGCCGCTAAGTCATTTTTAACACACCTACCAAAGCATTTCTTTTGAGGCTTTTCTCTGTCACTCCAATCTAAACTGTCTCAATTTTTCGACAAGACTAGAGAGGAGTCCATGCACTAAATTCACAATTCATTTCGAATGCTCCTCATTTTCTATGAAGTAGTGCACTGTGTGGCCTTTGTTTTTTGTGCTTTTCCATCTTTTTTTTTTATTTTTTACTCTGTTGTTGTCGACCCCCTAACTCGACGGTGCTCACAGAATTGGCCCGCTAACATGGTTTACCGGTACTTGATGGTGGATCCATGCTACAACCCAGGTTGAGTAGGTTAAAGTTTTGTCTAATCACAGAAACTCAGAGTCATTACGGTTTGTTGATGTCTCAAAGTTTGTA